TAGCTAGATAGATAGATAGATAGATGAGAACACATTGAGATAGATAGACAAGAACACACACACACACACACACACACACACACATATATATATATATATATAGATAGATAAGCTCACACTGAGATAGATAGATAGATAGATAGATAGATAGATAGATAGATAGATAGATAGATAGATAGATAAGAACACAATTTCCTCTTTCGTTCTGTCCTTCTCATATGGCTAAACAACTCATTGATTTTGAGTGTCAAGTTATAGTACTTTTCAAAGAAGGAAATCATACGTAGGTATTGACGAAATGTGCAGAAATTCTTCCTTTCTTCACATCAGTCGTCACCACTTTTTAACAGTTGTCTCACGTCTTTCTGAATTCACTTTCTTTTTTTTTACTGGACCCCATGCAATTCAGTCTTTCTTATCAAACCGCGTAATGAAAGTTATCTTGAATGGCTTCTCTTCTAGATCTTTTTTCGATAACTCAAGTGATCTACATGGCTTTGTGTTCAGACCTATGTTGTTTCAAATTTTCATAAATAAATGGTTTCATCAGTTCTCAGCTCCATATCTGTTATGGTTTAAGTTTCTTTGTACCACGGTGATGATCCAAGTTCCTTGTACCACGGTGATGGTCCAAGGTTCTTTGTACCATGGTGATGGTCCAAGTTCCTTGTACCACGGTGATGGTCCAAAGTTCCTTGTACCACGGTGATGGTCCAAGTTCCTTGTACCACGGTGATGGTCCAAGTTCCTTGTACCACGGTGATGGTCCAAAGTTCCTTGTACCACGGTGATGGTCCAAGTTCCTTGTACCATGGTGATGGTCAAAGTTCCTTGTACCATGGTGATGGTCCAAGTTCCTTGTACCACGGTGATGGTCCAAAGTTCCTTGTACCACGGTGATGGTCCAAGTTCCTTGTACCACGGTGATGGTCCAAGTTCCTTGTACCATGGTGATGGTCCAAGTTCCTTGTACCACGGTGATGGTCCAAGTTCCTTGTACCACGGTGATGGTCCAAAGTTCCTTGTACCACGGTGATGGTCCTTGTACCACGGTGATGGTCCAAGTTCCTTGTACCACGGTGATGGTCCAAGTTCCTTGTACCACGGTGATGGTCCAAAGTTCCTTGTACCACGGTGATGGTCCAAAGTTCCTTGTACCACGGTGATGATCCAAGTTCCTTGTACCACGGTGATGGTCCAAGTTCTTTGTACCATGGTGATGGTCCCTTGTACCACGGTGATGGTCCAAAGTTCCTTGTCCCACGGTGATGGTCCAAGTTCCTTGTCCCACGGTGATGGTCCAAAGTTCCTTGTCCCACGGTGATGGTCCAAAGTTCCTTGTCCCACGGTGATGGTCCAAGTTCCTTGTACCACGGTGATGGTCCAAAGTTCCTTGTCCCACGGTGATGATCCAAGTTCCTTGTACCATGGTGATGGTCCAAGGTTCTTTGTACCATGGTGATGGTCCAAGTTCCTTGTACCACGGTGATGGTCCAAAGTTCCTTGTACCACGGTGATGGTCCAAGTTCCTTGTACCACGGTGATGGTCCAAAGTTCCTTGTACCATGGTGATGGTCCAAGTTCCTTGTCCCACGGTGATGGTCCAAGTTCCTTGTACCACAGTGATGGTCCAAAGTTCCTTGTACCACGGTGATGGTCCAAGTTCCTTGTACCATGGTGATGGTCCAAGTTCCTTGTACCACGGTGATGGTCCAAGTTCCTTGTACCACGGTGATGGTCCAAAGTTCCTTGTACCACGGTGATGGTCCAAGTTCCTTGTACCACGGTGATGGTCCAAGTTCCTTGTACCACGGTGATGGTCCAAAGTTAGAACAAATGAAAGAATAACACGAACACAGGTATAGAATACAAAGATATATTACAACAGAAATATAATACAAAAAAGTAGAAGTATTAGTAATGACTATCAGATTTGGTTAGAGTGAACTATGTTGTCTCGACAAGTATCACTATTCCAATGTCCTTACAATATGCTCTCAATTATCTCTCCTCGTCTTACAATCTCCTCATACCTCTTGAGAGGCGCAGTATTTATAATGTCAGGGATAGTCCATTATTATTATGGGTAAGTTCCCATAACAATATCTATGTCGATGACACAACTATTTACTCCGGTCTTAATAGTAAGTCTTTTTGGTTCAATAAGGTCAAATTGGCGGCTGATCTACAAAATTACCTACAATCTGTGGTTAAATGGGGCAAGAAATGGCTTGTTAATTTTAACATCCACTAAATAAAACTGCTTTCTTTTAAATCATCTGAGAGAAGCCATGCTATCTTCCATCAGCATGGCTGATTCTAACCTCTAGAAGAGTGATTACTTTCGGCTTCCCGGGCTAACGTTTTTCGGTGATATAACGGGGAAATATATTGAATCAATTTCCACCTCTACTGCTCGTGTTAGACAATTTTTTATCGCTAGAATCTACATTTAATATTTATAAGTCTACCATTCATCCATGCACTGGGTATTGCTATCACATCAGCAATATTATTGGTCCTGACATTTTGGCTTCAGTCCTACGGCTGTAACATAGCTTAACTCTGCCTTTTGCATAAAGATATTTTCATGGTAATTGTTCTGATGAGCTTTCCTCTTTGGTACCTAGACTTTATGAAATTAAGCGTACTACAGTGTTGGTGGAAAGGTTTCATCATCTTTCAGTTGAAATTTCTAGATGTAACCGTAAGTTCTATGCTAACAGTTTCTCCTCTCGCACTTCTCACTGGTGGAAATATCTCCCGGCTTCTTGCTTTACAGTCAACTCTGATTTTCAAACATTTTGAAATTTTGAAGATCAAATTTGACTAAAATGTCAATGGTTATCCCCAGTCATCTTAATTCATGTTCTTTTATTATTTTCTCTCCTTAATAGTTATTTTCTCTCATAATCAGTAACCGCTTGCGTCTTAGTGGCTTTGTTGCCTTGATTTGAGTGAAATCATTAAAAAAACAACCTTGAAGCAGTTGAAACGTACCTTCAGTGTATTTCTCTTCATCAGTTGCAAAGAAAGTTGGTTCACTGAGTCGTGCAAAACCAATATTCTAGCCAGAATCTATATTACGTATCTATAAGTCTACCATTCGTCCATGCTTAGAATATCGCTGCCACATATGGTCAGGTGCCCCTGATATTTACCTTTATAAAATCCGAAGAAGAACCAGCAATTTTATTGGTTCTGATCTGGCATCTTGGCTTCAGTCACTTTCCAACCGCTGTAATATTGCCCCTCTGTGTCTTTTCTATCAATACTTTCATGGTAATTGTTCGGGTGAACTCTTCGCTATGGTACCTAGACTTTTTGAATTTAAGCGCGGTGCTAGACTGGCGTCGAGATCTCATCAATTTAGAGTTCAGCTGGCGAGATATAACCGTAACTTCTATGATAACAGTTTATTTTCTCGCACTTCTCCCTTGTGGAAATCATTTTCGGTTCCATGCTTTCCAGCCAACATTAATCAGCAAAAATTTAAATGCAATGTCAAATGCTATCTACTCTCGTCTTAATCTTTTCTCTTTCGGTTCATTAGTAATGTTTCGCTTTCTAATACTCTCACGTGCTGTAAAGTCACGTGTTTCAGTGTATTTATCTTCATCATGTAAATATTAGAATTATCGAATTCTAAGTGCTCTTATAGAGAAACCATTGAATTTATTGATGTTATTTTGATGTTATTAAGTGAATAGATGTTGATTAGCTTATTTTTAATAATCTACATTCAGTAATGACTTAGTTATAGATTATTAGGTTTGACCTCTTCCCCTGATTGAGGAATCGGAGAGCTGAAGATGTGGAGTAATGGATACCATTCGTCCATGCTTAGAATATCCCTGCCACATATGGTCAGGTGACCCTGATATGTACCTTTATAAAATCCAAAGAAGAATCAGCAATTTTATTGGTCCTGATCTGACAGCTCGGTTTTAGTCACTTTCCCACTGCCGTAATATTGCCCCTCTGTGTCTTTTCTATAAATACTTTCATGGAAATTGTTCGAGTGAGCTCTTCGTTATTTTTGTTTCATTCACCTTCCTCCCACAGACAATGAATTGTAGAGTTGTGTAGTTAGGATTTTCATAGCGACAATGTGGTATTATGGTGGATGTAGTAAGAAAGGTAAGTAAGAATGCGTTGTTTTGGTGTAAGGAATATTGTTGTATATTTGTGTCAGTGTTTGTGGCTAGCTAAGTTTAACGTTAACACAGAAGACTGTCCTTTTCCCCATTCCACATTTTGGCCTTGTACCATATTTTCTGTACATAGCAGAACAATTGTAGCTCTTAGCTATGGCACGTAAACGCTTTTTTAAAAATTTAAGCGCAATAAATAGACTGGCGTCGAGATCCCATCAATTTACAGTTAAGCCGTCTAGATGTAACCATAATTCTATACTAACAGTTTCTTTTCTTGCACTTCTCCCTTGTGGAAATCCCTTTTGACTCTATGCTTTCCACCCAACGTTATTCAGCAAAAATTTAAATGCAATGTCAAACACTATCTACTCTCCTCTTAATCTTTTCTCTTTCGGTTCATTAGTAATGTTTCGCTTTCTAATACTTTCACGTGCTGTAAAGTCACGTGTTTCAGTGTATTTATCTTGATTATGTAAATATTGGAATTATCGAATTCTAAGTGCTCTTATATAGAAACCATTGAATTTCTTGATGTTATTTTGTTGCTATTACGTGAATAGATGTTGATTAGCTCATTTTTAATAATCGACGTTCAGTAATGACTTAGTTACATATTATTAGTTTTGATATCTTCCCTTGAATAATTGACTTATTGATATTTCCTTTTTTACTTTCGGAAGATAATAAAAGTAGTTTGACGGATATCGAATAAACAGAAAAATTACACAAAATATAATAAAAATTCACATAAAATTAAATACAAATACAAAATCAGAGTTGTTTCGACTTAAAGCGACACTGGAAATCAGTGCGATTTATTATCATTATACTAAAAGGGGAGAAATGGACAGTGGTTCGTATTTTGAGTTCGGAAGCTGTAGATGTGGAGTAATGGATAACGGCACGGATTGAGGAATCGAATGGTGAAGACTGGGTAATGGATGCTGACTGGTGTTTGGATAGGAATGAAGATGTGGAATGAATAGCTGTTCGAATTAAGTGGAGAGTAATGGATAGCGGCTCGAATTGAGGGGAATCGGACATGTGGCTTGACAATGTGACAATGTGTCGTAATAGATTGAAGATCGGATTGAGAAATCGGAGAGCTGAGTATGTGGAATAAAGGATAGCGGTTCGAATTAAGAAATCGGAGAGTCGAAAAGGCTGGATAATGGAAAGCGGCTCGGATTGAGGAATCGGAGAGCTGCAGATGTGGTGCCATGGATAGCGGTTCGAATTAAGAAATCGGAGCGTCGAAAAGGTTGTGTAATAGATAGTGGCTCGGATTGAGGAATGGAAAAGCTGACGATGTGGAGTAATGGATTGAGACTCGGACTTTGGAATCTGAGATCTGTAGGTGTGGAGCAATAGATAGCGGCTCGGATGGCGGAATCGGAGAGCGGAACATATGGAGTAATGGATAGCGGTTCGAATTAAGAAATCAGAGCGTCGAAAAGGCTGTCTAATAGATAGTAGCACGGATTGAGGAATCGGAAACCTGATGATGTGGAGTAATGGACTGAGGCTCGGATTGGGCAATCTGAGAGCTGCAGATGTGGAGTAATAGATAGCGGTTTACATCGAAGAATCGGAGAGCTGCAGATGTGTTGCAGGGAATAGCGGTTCGAATTAAGAAATCGGAGCGTCGAAAAGGATGTGTAATAGATAGTGGCTCGGATTGAGGGATCGGAGAGCCGAATATATCGAGTAATGGATAGTGGCTCGGATTAAAGAATCGGAAAGCTGATGATGTGGAGTAATAGATAGAGGCTCGGATTGAGGAATCGGAGTTGAGCATGTGGAATAATGAATATCGGTTCTAATTAAGAAATCGGAGAGCCGAAAAGGCTGATAATGGAAAGCGGCTCGGTTTGAGGAATCGGAGAGCTGAATATGTGGAGTAATTGATATCGGCTCGGATTGAGGAATCGGAGAGCTGGAGATGTGATGCCATGGATAGCGGTTCGAATTAAGAAATCAGAGCGTCGAAAAGGCTGTGTAATAGATTGTGGCTCGGACTGAGGAATCGGAAAGCTGATGATGTGGAGTAATGGATAGAGGCTAGGATTGAGGAATCAGAGATCTGAAGATGTGTAGATTGCGGCTCGGATTGAGGAATCGGAGAGCTGAGGATATTAGAATTTAATTAATAATATAGCATAACAACTTGTATTGAAACCTCCCACTTCCCACAAAAATTTAACTTCGAAGAAAAATTTAATTTACAACTGGAAAGAATATCCACAGCTGAAAAAAATGAAGACGTAAACAAAAGCAAAAATTCATGAACGTGAAAACAACGTGAAATTCATGAATACTCACGTGTAAAACAAGAACCCCTGAAGAATAGAAATTTACCAAGAAACTTCGAAGTCGGGGAAACCACAAAAAATTAATATTATACGTTAAGTAATCTTTTTATATAATAATATTAATGGTGTTTTAAATATTATTTCTATATTTTAATAGTGAGCACTATACATAAAAATATCTACTGTTTCTTAAATCTTATATATATATATATATATATATATATATATATATATATATATATATATGTGTGTGTGTGTGTGTGTGTGTGTGTGTGTGTGTGTGTGTGTGTGTGTATCAAAATATTTTTACAAACTTTGGGACGTTTTCCTCACACCAAAACGAATAAATATCTATATAAACATATATCCGCAAATCCTTCGTTTTTAAGTTATGTTTAAAGCAAGTTACCGGTAGACAGCGCTGTGTTGCCACGTAGACTAGGTTACATTTGCCATTCGTGTACATTTGTAGCTAGTCTCTCTTCAGCGTTTAGCGTGTGTAGCAGTGAGTTAAATGAGAAGTGTTTCGTTTAACAATGGCAGAATATTCATATCAAAGCAGCCAGGTATAATTCATACCTGGCTGCTTTATACGGCCGCACGAAATGATAATGGACGCGAGGTAATGGACTGCATGGCTGTATGAGATTGCGTTTCCAGACTGAAGGCAGTCAAGTCATCCAACCCTTGCTGCTATTTATCGTCGCGTTTTTGAGACAGGATCTGTATCAGCACAAGCTATGGACCGAGGACGACAGAGATCCGCTCGTTCGAAGAACATTCTACGGCCTGTCGGAGATGATCCAGGTATCAGCATACGTCAAGTGGCCCATGTCGTACATCTCATAGTACCGATGAAGTGTTCTTCAAGATCAGTTCCTGTATCCGTATTATTTGAAAAGTGTGCATGGTCTTTCGCCCTCTGATCACTAACCACGGTAGAACGGGTGCCAATGATTTATTGCCCAAACTTCCGATTCGTTGTTTCCTTCACTCTTGGATGAGGCAGCATTTGGAAGAAATGGAATAACAAATTTGAACAGTCAGTATTTGTGGCCGGACCGAAATCTCCATGATGCAAGACAGGCTAGACACCAGTATCAGTTTACGATTAATATGTGGACTGGAATTTTAGGTGACTGTTTGGTAGGTCCATATGTTCTCCCAGCACGTTTTACATGAGCTGTCTACATGCACTTTATTTAGAACACACTTCCAAGCCTGCTAGAGAATGTACTCCTGCTAATACGAAGATGCATGTAGTTCATACATGATGGGGCTCCAGCGCATTTTAGTCACGATGCGCTAACTGACATCTACCATGAAAGATGGATAGGTAGAGAAGGACCGGTTCCATGGCCTGCACGTTACACCGACCTCAGTCATTTGGATTTTTTTTTATCTGTGGGGTCACCTAAAACAATTAGCTTATGCAGCAGATATTAATAATGCAGAGACACTTCATGAACGTGTCATGGGGGCCTTCGAAACCATTCGACACCTTGTGGGAGTATATGAAAGGGTCCGCCAGTCAATGATCCGACGGGGGCATGTTTGTGTAGAAGGAAGCGGAGGACATTTTGAACATTTGTTATGAGTTTCTCTGTTGATGTACAACGATGGCCTTTTGGACATATGATTATATGGACATTTTAGCTTGTTTTGGCGTCATGAACCCGCCCCAAAGTTTGTAAAATAATATGTGGATTGCGCATTTTACAGCGTCTACCACAAACTTTAAACTTAATAACTCAATGCCGAACGAATTGCAGACATATGTTTATATGGACTTTTGTTTTTGTTTTGGTGAGGAACCTGCCTCCAAATTTTGTAAACGTATTTTTGATATACGCTATATATATATATATGTGTGTGTGTGTGTGTGTGTGTGTGTGTGTGTGTGTGTGTGTGTGTGTGTGTGTGTAAAAATATATAGAAAATAGGAAAGAACTCTTTAGGTAAATAATCCAAAGTTCTTTAGTATTTTTGTTATTATTTTTAAAAATATAGTGCTCGATACAAAAGTAGAGCATAAATATAATTATTTATTTAAAATATGATCCCAACGCTACATAAGAGTTCTCATGTTTTAAAGCAAGAGCCGAAAACTTCAATATAATTATTTGAATTAAATTGAATTAAAGTACCAAGCTCTCTTCCATCTTCAAGCGAAATTTTGTTTGGAATTACTAATTCCTGAAATTTACGCGTTCTATAAGCATATTGATTATTAAGATTAAAATTACTATGATAACGGCTAGAGCAATTATTTAAATATGAGTTTGTCTGACGATCGCTAAAGCGTGAAACCCAGGGTCACAAACTCACATCTATCCAACCAAATATGTTAGCTTTATCTCTGATATTGAGCGCTTTCTAATTAGTACCGCGCATATAATATATAAACAATTATACATATATATATTTATTTATATTTATATGCACTTTTCACACACACACACACACACACACACACACACACACACACACACACACATATATATATATATATATATATATATATATATATATATTTCATTCATCTTCCTTCAGTTTATTTTCTTTATATCTTTCTTCTTCCTTTAGTCGATTTATTTTCATTCAGTCTGCTTTCTTCAATCTATTTTTTCTTCTTTCATTCCCTTTATTTTAATCCAATTCTTTTTTACTTTTTCCTTCGGTCTATTTTCCCTTCTTTCACACTCATTCTTTAAATTTATATCCCCTTCTTTCGTCCTTTTTTCCTTCAATCCATCATTTCTATTCATTTGTTCTTCTTCCGTGAATCCATTTTTTTTTTCATTCATTCTTTTTCATTTAAAACATTTTCCTTTCCTTCCTTTTATTTTTCCTTAACTCCATTTTCTTTATTCTCTTTCTTTCAATCTATTTTTCCATTTCCTTCAGTCATTTTCTCGCAGTTCACCTTTCCTCACTCAAACTTTCTTTTCCTTCATTTTTCTTTCCTCGACCCATTTTCTCTTTCTTCATTATTTTTCACTCCATCCTCTATGCCCTTGTTTTAATCTTCTTCATTCAAACTATTTTTCTCTTTCATCCTTCATTTTATCTTTTTTTTTCAATCGTTTTTACCTTCACTTCATTCTTCTCTATTCATCTGCTTTCTTTCTTCCTTCTTCGATTCATTTTTTGCTTTTTTTGCTTCTTCATGCTTTTTCCTTCAATCAATTTTATATTTCTTTCATTCTTCTTACTTCAGTCCTTTTTCACGTCTGTACTTCAGTCCATTCCCTTATTTCTTAATTGTTCTTAATTTATTTTATTTTTTTATTTTCCGGTTTCACATTAAACACTCCAATAAGGAATATAAATTATGCGCGAACTCTGCAGACGACAAATCGGAAACCGGAATTGAATGGATAATTGAATGAAGGAAGGGATGAGTGAAAAATGGCGTGAACTGAAGCCAATTCGCCACACCTTACGTCAAATCAAGACTAATATAAAATCTTAATACAACTGAAGCATGAAAAACAGCAATAGTAACCGTTAAGTTTGCCGGGAAAAGGGTTAATCTAATACATTTGGTAAGTGACTTTGGGAGCCAGATGTCACGAAATCGCTGTCGGGTTATCGGTAAAGTTGAGGAGGGATGAATAAATGAATCTATCTATCTATCTATCTATCTATCTATCTATCTATCTATCTCATTCTGTTCATATCTATCTATCTATCTATCCATCTATCTATCTATCTCATTCTGTTCATATCTATCTATCTCATTCTGTTCATATCTATCTATCTATCTATCTATCTATCTATCTATCTATCTATCTATCTATCTATCTCATCTCTATCTATTCTATCTATCTATCTATCTATCTATCTATCTATTCTGTTCATATCCATCTATCTCATTCTGTTCATATCCATCTATCTCATTCTATTCTATCTATCTCTATCTATCTATCTATCTATCTATCTATCTCATTCTGTTCATATCTATCTATCTATCTATCTATCTATCTATCTATCTATCTCAGTATGTTTAAATCTATCTATTTTTTTAATAGGTATCACCTCAAGCAAGGCAGTACAGCCACTGACACACAAGGTGTTACAGGGTGTGGAGGAATTAGGAACAGAAACATTAGTAATGATGAGAAAGAGAAAAGAGCAATCAGGAGGACAGCAGATATTAATATTACATTTAAATTTTTGCAGATTAAAGTTGGTTGGAAAGCATGAAGCCGAGAGGGAGTTCCACAAGCGAGAAGTACGAGATAAGTAACTGTTCGCATAGAAGTTCCGGCTAAATCTAACCAGCTCAATTGTAAATTGATGAGATCTCGGCGCCAGTCTTGTACTGCGCTTAAATTCAATAAGTGTAGGTACCATAGCGAACGATTACCATGGAAGTATTTATAAAAAAAAAAAGGCACAGAGATGCAACCTTACGGCGGGGGAAAAGCGACTGAAGCTGAGCCGCCAGATCAGGATCAATAATATTGCTGATTCTTCTTTGGATTATATCAAGGAGCACCGGACCAAATGTGTCATCAATATTCTAATCATGGACGAATGGTAGACATACAGATATGCAAGATAGATTCAGGAGAGAAATCTAGCACGACACAGTGAACCATCATTCTTAGCAGCTGAACCTAGCAATGGATTCATTATAGTCTTTCCTCATCATGTCAGCCGACAACGTTAGCCCTAAAAGTTACTTTCCTGGGGGTCATTATCAGCGATGCTGATGCAGGCCAGAGAGGGGGGGTCTCTCAGATGATTAATAGAGAGCAGTTTAGGTTTGGAAGATTTAATTTTGTATTGACCTTTCTGATATCATTCTGGTTACTACTATCCCCAAATCTGAAAAAGTCTCTCTCTCTCTCTCTCTCTCTCTCTATATATATATATATATATATATATGTGTGTGTGTGTGTGTGTGTGTGTGAAAATATATAGAAAATAGGAAAGAACTCGTTAGGTAAATAATCCAAAGTTCTTTAGTATTTTTGTTATTATTTTAAAAAAAACAGTGCTCGATACAAAAGTAGAGCCTAAATATAATTATTTATTTAAAATATGATTCCATCGCTACATAAGACTTCTCATGTTTCAAAACAAGAGCCGAAAACTTCAATATAATTATCAAAATTAAATTGAATTAAAAATACCAAGCTTGAGAACTCTTATGTAGCGATGGAATCATATTTTTAAATAAATAATTATATATATATATATATATATATATATATATATATATATATATATATATATATATATATATATAACATTCGGATTACTAACACAAATACAGAGAATGTCTCATATCGAGAATATTTAACATTGAAAAACATGAGGAAAAAATTAATTATTTTTAATAATATGTGGAAATCACTGCTTTTACCTGAAGACGGTCACGAGACCAGAAACACGTGTAGTGAAATTATGGAAAATGAAGCATAATATCTTTTTTAAAAAAATCCACATTACAACCAAAAACGTTTGCAGCACCTTTCTTCTTTTATTTTTAATATACACACTTTTCTCTCGTTGGAACCACTATAACCTCTTTCTTTTATATATATATATATATATATATATATATATATATATATATATATATATATTAATCAGTTCGCCCTAATCAAGGCGATAATGACACTAAGATGCGGAGATTAAAGGAGAATGGAAAGACTTTAGAAAAAACCTGAAACTCAATCCTAAACAGGAAACAGAGGATAAATCGTTACTCTTATTCAAAAGACCGCGGAGAAGTGCGAACCAGGCGATAGACGAACCTATCTATTTCTATCACAAAATACCAAAGCGTTGGTAAAACTAGTAGAGAGCCTGCCATGTGACCAAAAGGATGACTTAAAAAGAAAAAAACAACAACAAACTAACAACGAATAAACCAGGAAAACAAAAACAGAAGAAACATAAACTGACAAAAAAAAAAAGATAAAAAACATAGAAACATATGTAAAACGTAACAAAGAGTGCTCTATGACTAGATTACCCAGACAGAACAATTACGCTTCCTCGTATTAAGCCTCATAAAGAGACAAAGTTCGCAGCGCTACTTAAGTTTCACACAACCACGATCTTCTAGAGAACACACAGCAAACTTTACGGTTGATGCTGCAGCTTGATATTTTTCTATAAGGAGTATACGTACATATTTACACGTGGCCTATTAGTTAGAGCGCTTGTTTACTCACTATGTGTTATGGAGTGGTTTCACAGTGGAGGCTTGTATATGTACTAAGTCGGTCCTAAAATAGGTTCGACGTACAAAATGTTAGGAATTTGATATAATAGGTATTACGCAGAGTAATCTATTTGGGGTCGCTGATAGTTTAGTATCCGACTAACTGTCGTCCGACATCGACGGACTGACCGTCTCACTGAGCGATATTCAGTCACCCCCCCCACCACACGAGGGCATCATGTGGCACAAGGCCGGTCTAACATGGGATGGCCAAAAATATGCCCTTTTAAATCCCGTATAAACGGGTTCAGGGTCGGTTTACTTCCCCGAAAGAGACTCCGCCCTTCGGCGTAGCCTCGTTCGGGTTCCTCCCCGCTCGAAGGCAGAGAGTCCGACTTTAGACTGAACTCAGACCGACTCACTGAGCGACCCGCCGTTACTCTTATTACTCCTACTTATTATAGGTGGGAGAGTCTATTAACTATAGAATAGGTGTGTTCCACTATAACACTATGAAACCCGGTTTCAATTCCTATCGTAGTCGATTTGACTTCTTGATGTCATCGGGCTATGGGGGCTTTTGCAGCGTGCGGGACCGTCTGAAAGCGGAGAGGGAACAAAAGGCGTATATAATGAAAATATGAAGGATAGACAATGGTTGACCTTAGACTGAGGCTAAGGTCGTAGCGATCAAGGAAGCATCCTCTCGGGTGTCCGTTCTATAATGCAGCTCTTCTAGTGAAGAAGCTATCTGAATAAAACATCCTCTTTAATAACGGAACACGACGGGATTGAAAATCAGTGTACGTCGTCTGGGGCAGGTCCTATCTGTGAAGGTCTGAACTGGTCGAACCAAGGAATGTATTACACCCAAACTTTTGCCGTGGAAATATCGAAAGATATACCACATTTTGACTTTGAAAAGACTGGGCTGTAGAATTAGGGTTATTAGTGTAGTAGGATTTCCCAGTCAAGTAGTGCAACAGGGCTTCCCATCCAGGGCCGGCACGTCTTACTCCCGAAACCCCTGACTAGCATGGGGGCGTTATTTTTGGCTCCGTTGTCGCCTTTGCCATTTTTTTCAGCACTGTTTTATGGTCATCCGCCAACCCTCACTTCTACTCCAACATCTTTTTCTCTCGCATTTCTGTGGAATTTTCTTCCTCTTACTTGCTTCTCTGATGACTATAATCTTCAAATATTAAGTGTAATGTCAATCGACAATCGACATCTTCTGATAACTTGATCTTGTTCCCCGTCCTTCTCTGTATCCTTTCCTCGAACACGTCGCTTTTCTCTTGTTCTCAATCCTCTGTAACCCCTTGCGTGCTAGTGGCACTCCCGCCTTGCTTGAGGTGAATTACTTAAATAAAAATTTAAATTAGTTTTAAAGGGACATTACATTGTCAGTCATCAACTAATGATATAAATCGTGTATCTGCATGGCCGGTGCGGTGTATGTTATGCAGAAATCCCCAATGAGGTTAAAGCCCCAAAAGCAGCGTTTTTTTGTTTTTTTTTACTTTTTTTTCTACTTAAGTTATATTGTCAATCATCAACTATAATAATCAACAGGACCGGTGATTTAATACCCTGAACCTCTTAACCGTGTGGGACCCCATCCTTACTGGGGGCAGAAGTGCTTATTTTCAGTATTGCTTATTTTTTAAATAGTAATTTTCTTTCTAAACAGTTCTCTTAAATCAATTAAGAGGGAATATATCTCGCTAAAATCATTTTTTATTCCAAGATCACCCACTAAGGAGAATCTGTGATTATTTTTTTTTTACTAATAGTAATACTAACCAGAAGTCCACACCTAATATTTTTTTTTTAAGCGTTTCACCCCAAGCAAGGCGGGAAGCCACTAGGATGCAAGGGGTTACAGAAGATTTGGAGCAAGATCAGATAGGAGTGATAGAGGAAAGGATGAGGAGAAGGATAGTGGATAGATCAAGGCAAAATTAAATAAAATTTGTAGTCCCTACTTTTTGCATTTCTAGAAAGATAAAACCGAAAAGATATTTATGTGGAGTATCTCCGCGATGTCCCGTGTCGTGTGACCGGGATTATTTTTAAT